TGAGGCCCACTGAGGACCATTCCCTAAAGGAACATCCAAACCCCACGGTCTCCCTCGGCCCCCTCCTGCTCTTTTCAAGGACGAGGAGGACATAGAACTGCAATCAGCATTTACTATTTCTTTTACAATACTCTTTGCCACACGACTGAACAACTCTTTGCCTGGTGCGATTAAGTGGCTATTACCTAGACAAAAATGTCAAGATTTCTGTGAACTGGTTCAAAGGTTAAAGTTTGCCATCTGACCCACTCCAACAGCTGGTGGGGAGGTGGGAGGGGTGGGCAGAGAAGGCCGAGGCCAGGCCCCAGTCCCATGACCTTGCACCATTTCCGGGTATGAACAGTGGGAGGTTGTGGGGTCTGAGTCCAGGCAGCCACAAGGTCTAGATCCCAAGAGCAAGGTCCTAGGCCAGTGAACCCCTCCCACTAAGACCAATCAAGGCCGGGCTTAATTAAACATAACCCTTGAGGGATCGTCTTCTCTTCTGGCCTTTTCAGATCTCTCCCCATCTCTCCTCAGCACCAGCTCAGCTCACGCTTCCAAACAGGCATGCGAAATGTGTTCAGACATCCCAGAAGTTCACTGAGGACGCCACTCGGGTCGAAGGCACCCAGGCGTGTAACACCCTGTGTCAGATTAAGTCCGCAGCGCTGGCTGGTCATCCATATTTAATTCTGTCAGTCTGTTAATTTTTAACTATGTTTGCTATCAAGGGCCATTAGAGGTCTCCGGGAGCTGGGGTCGGTGGAGCGAGAAGCGCGCGGTGGCAGAGTGGATGAGACTTGGAAGTCGGGGTGTCCCACTTTCCCCTCCTGTCATGGGCTTCTGGCCTTCCTCACCGGCAGTGCCGGCCTTGAATAAAACATGATCCCATTTGGAGCTCGTTTTCCTTTTCGCCCCTGTCACCACGGGTTTTCTTCACGGAGTTCACTTGCTTTTTAGGCCGCCTGCGTCTTTTAATTCCAAAGTTTCTTGGTAGCCTTTCTTGGTTCTGCTCCGAAGCTGTTTGAATCCATGTCCTCTCAGATGGTATGTGGGACTCATCCCACCAGAGGCCCAACGCCTGCGGGGGCGGCCAGCAGGGCTGCCCCCGCCTCCCCCCAGCTCACACCGGGACCCTCAGGTTTCTGCTGCTGGGTACCAGTCCTGAGCCCCTGCATCCTGACTGCTGCTTAAGCCAAAGGGAGGTCCCAGGCATCTATTCTTGACCAAAAAAAATAAAAAAAATAAAGGAAATGGAAGAGCTATTTTAACAGTAATTACAGCTCTATGCCAAGCACTGGACTCTCTGCCTCAAAATAACGCCGTGAAATAAGAGGTTCATTCTTTCTACTTACAGATGAGGAAACAGAGGCTCGGTGAGATAGCCAAATCAACAGAACAAAAGCCTGCCTAAAGCCTCCAAGTCAGGAGCATGGGTGGAACCTGTCATTCAAATTGGGCCTGTCGGATTTTCTGCAGATGCCCACTGCGACAGGCAGCCGGCTCGGCGGCGAGTGGATGGTCCCAGGGGGGCACCCCGCTGAGACTCACGGAGCCTTGGGAGGGCTCTCCCTGCTCACGAGGTTGGAGGGACGCAGGTTGGGGGAGACACACAGCGTTGGGGGGATGTAGCCTTACATCTGGAAAAAGAAATTGGAACCTGGAAAACACAACGCCCTCCAAATGAAGGCAATCATGCCCCCTGCCCCCCAATCAGGAAATCTGCCCCGGATGGGGCGTGGGGAGTCCGGGCCTCTGTAGCCGGAGCAGCGGCTTTGATCAAAGGGACTACCGGGCCCAACCACCAGACGGAACATCGGCTCTGGACTGCTCTGAGGCCGGTGAGGACAGGGCAGGGGCATGCATCACTGCCTTATGAAGAGGCTCCTTGGGCCTTCAAACATTGAAGAGCAAAGGGAAGGGCAAGAGACAGGACAGGTGGGACAGAGAAGGTAAAAGGGGGCAGAGCATCCTCTAGGCCAGGAGATGGCTACGGGGGGCGGGGGAGGCGGTGTTCAGCCACCAGGACTAGAAGGAGAATCATCTCCTCCCACCACCCAAGGCACTCAGTGTAGCCCCATCACCTGGATACCAGGCTGGGCAGAGTCATAGCAGAAAGACTGGAGGGAGAATGAGCTAGAAGGCCCCGGGAAGGACGGGTGGGCTGACCAGTAGCTGAAGACATCTGAGTAAAGGAACGTGTTACCACTGGTCTCTGGGAATCCAGCTGTTTCCTGTTGGGGACAGGCGTGTCCGGGCCTGGCCTGCCCCCGGGGGGTGGGGGAGCTCCCTCCAGGGGCCACGTTCTCCCAGAGCCAGCACCGGCTGCAGGGACCACAGTGCTGATGCGGGCAGGCATCGCTCGAGACAGCGGGGACCGTCATGCAGGCCTCATCTCGCTCACCCGCTCCTCAGCCACCTTCCCAGCCTCTGATCTTCCCTCCGGCTGCAGCGAGGATTCTGCGTTCCCGCGGGCGTCCAGGCTAGACATCCTCAGTGTCTGAACCAGCGCAGTTCGCGGGGGTAACTAGTGCCGGGCTCCCTTCTCCCTGATTCAAATGCACCTTGAAAGGCTAACATTCTAAGCCCTTACTGTGTGCCAGGCACCCCTGTTTTACATGAGGGATTTTTAGCCCCACTTTGAGTGTTGCTTAGTCGTGTCCAACTCTGTGACCCCATAGACTGCAGCCTGCCAGGTTCCTCTCTTCATGGGATTTTTTTAAGGCAAGAGTACTGGAGTGGGTTACCATTTCCTTCTCCAGGAGATCTTCCCGACCCAGGGATCGAACCCAGGTCTCCTGCATTGCAGGTGGATTCCTTTAAGGAACGTGAGTCAAGGTCACAGAACCTGTAAACGGCAAAGCCCGCATCTGACCAGGGAGCCCCAGAAACCTCAGGCCTTATGGGGTTGGCAGGGAAAGAGCCCCCTAGGGAGGGGCTGGGGGGACTGGAACAGGAAAGGGGGCCCGGTGCTCACGAGAGGCTGGGCTGTGAGCACCACCCCTGCCCTGCCCACCTTCGGTCTCCTATGGGAGCTGAGCCAGGGGCTCTTAGGTGACCAGAAAGTCAAACAGAAACAGGGAACGAGACAAGGCTGGTGCGGTCAGGAGACAGACTGCCAGGGTGTGGTTCCCCCGCCCCTACTCTGACCTTCACGGAGTTGCAGGTTTAAAGAGAAAAGCAAATGTCAGAGGATTAATAGTTTCATTTATGCCTGAGAACAATTCAGAGCCTTGAGCTGAATTGCCTCAAAGGCAGTCCTTCAAGGCTGGGGTCTCTGGGACAGAGACCAGCCCCAGGGCTACAGGATAAGACGTGTTTGGGAAAGCCAGGCCTCAAGGATGAGGTTGTCAGGGGGAAGAGAAACCACACCCGAATCTCCTGACACCTCCCTTTCCTCTGGGAGGCTGGCAGCTGGTGAGGGGCTGAAGTCGCCTCTGGCGGGGGAAGCAGGGGGTTCTGCTCTCAGGCCAGCTCTCACTGGCTGCTGCCCTGTGAATAGGAGGGAGAAGCTCAAAGAACAGAGTCCCCCCTGTGTGAGTCCCCAGGAGCACCTGGGTAGGAAGCAAGCGCTTCTGACCTGCTGCCACACTGTGCGCTCACCTGAGTCCACAGTCACACCTGCCTCCCTCTCCACGCCCCCTCCGACCAGCTATGTACCACACTTAAGTCCGACTCATGCCAGACCATGCTGCTTCATCTCAGTATTCACTATGGGGGTTCAGTGACAGAGGAGATGCTTAAGAGATCTGCTTTAAAAAAAAAGTTTACAAATGCAGTTCTAGAAACTGCACAGTGTCTGGGGCGAGGACCTGGCGGTCAGGATACCCACACCTCACCCGAGGCCATCTCGCCCCCAGGCCTTCTCTTCCCGGTTTGCCTATGTCTTTTTCCCATGGTCCATTCTGGCATTTATTTTAGGTCTAACCTCTAGAATTTTTCCAGTGTGTCACAAGGAGACCTCTCCAGGGGGCCCGTCTTGCCCCGGGAAGTCTGTGGTTTCATCTGAAGACCTTCTGTTCGCGGGCAGGGATGCACTCCGGTCACAAGCTGCAGGGCAGCCCCGGGAGAAGTCGTGCAGAGAGACTCAGGGCAGACGGGCCCGCGGAGGAGAGACAGGCTGGTAGCCAGGACCTGCTTTTCCGGTCTCACTTACCTGCACAAGTTCCTGGCTCAATTCAGTGTGATCAAGGGTAAATGCTATTGCTTCTAGACTGTGGAAGAGGACAGTGTGTTTTATTGGCTTCCTCTCAGCCCCATTAGCAAGCAGACCAAAAGCAAAAATGAACCCAGACTTTAAAAAAAAAAAAACAGCTGAGATGTGTGAATATGAGGTCAGAGGAGCTGTGTGGATCGTCTTCCACGTGTACTTTTCATAAAAGTCGTGAATGAAACCTTCCTCCCTCGTCCACAGTGACGCACGTCATACACTCAATACATTTCAAATACTGACGATGGTGCAAAGCAAGCAGGATGAGCATTTCTTAAAACGTGAATGATCTCAGAAATCAGCTGCTCTCTTATCTCTAGAAGTACAAAAGGCAGTACTGCGGCTTACAGTCCTTCTCCAAATATTCTTTACAAGTGGGATGTGATGTCCAATACGCATCTTCGATGTACATGGAGGCACCATATAAGCCGGGCAGAAGTAGAGATATGAAGCATCAACTCCTTTTGCAGCGATAATTTCTGTCTCTCCTGGAACTTCCTTCTGGATCAGACAGACTGAAAAAGACATCCATCCTTGTTGAAGTGACAGCTCCCAGCAGGTGCGACCCATGGATGCTAGAGTGAGCAACTTCTAATATGCAGCTCTGATGGCACAGGAGCCCAAGAGGATACAGGCAGCAGCGGCGAGGCCTCAAGCCTGGACCAAGTCTCCCTGGGATGCTGGCTCCTTTTCCCATATAATGTGTACTCAGCATCCGGGGCCCAGCTCTCCCCAAATCTCCGTCAGAGATAGCATCTTAGCTCCAAAGTCGCATCACCGTGAAAAACAAAACGCTGCAGTCTACTTGAGATCATTTTTGCTCTAATTAAAATTTTTATTGAAATCTCTCAAACGTTACCAAGAAATAGTTTTTGCAAAAGAGAGGGAAGGGGAAAAAAAAAAAAAAACAAAACAGCTAACAAGCAAATTCAACATGGGAGCTCCCTCTGCTGGTCTGCAGTAGGTTGATATGTTACAAACACATTCCCAGAGACAAATCTAATTTGCTGGAGAAGTGGACAAAAGACAGGTGTGTTGGGCTTTGCCTCAGGAGAGAAACACTAGAAGAAAAAAAAAATCCATGTCTCAAAACAGAGCACAACATCACTAAGAAAAGCAAAATCATCTCAAAGCTGATCTCCAAAGACATATAATAAGATTTCCAGAACAAAAATGAATTAGCCACTAACGGGATGCTCCCTTCTGGCCTTCCCCTCTGTTCTACCTCCAGTTAGTAAAAATTCTCTTAGGCCTTTTGGGTGAAGGTTAAGTTCTGAGTCCCTCGTCTCTGCCTCCAAATCTCTTCTTACAGGCTTCTCATCTACTTTGATAAGAAAAAGATCCAAGGAGTCATTGGAGCAAGGCCTCTCCACAATTCCATCAAAGATTTAGTCTCTGGTGGGACAGCTCTGAGGTGTGGACAGGGCTGGGAATCAGGCGGCCTGACTCTGGCCACGGCAGAGCCACGTGCAGACTTTGGACAACTCTCTGCATCTTCTCCGGTCTGTGTCCTCATTTGTAAAATGGGTCAGACCAGCTGATCTGTCAAGCCTCTCCCAGTTCATTCTATGATTCTCATATCGGACAAAGACACTTAAATAACCGTATCTGTTCATCAGTCTTTGTGATACAGAACTCAAGCTTGTACTGGGAAGGACCCCCAACAAGAAGCGGGATTGAGCGCAAGGATCTCACACTGGTATCAGATGAGAGTCCCACCAGCTCTAGGGCTGATGTAGCGATGCCAAGTGGATGCCCGGCTGGGAAAGCCTCAAGACCAAGGAACAGCTCACGGGGACCATGCCACCATGGGCAGTGCACATCCCCGTAAGCCAGAACAGGAGCGTCCATTTATCTTGGCACTGTCTCTCCTCATCCTTTCTCACAATGGCCTGGGCTTTCGGATCTCTCATTCCCGGTCCTGTTCGGCCAGTGTCAGTTCTTGCTTTTCCCGGGCAGTGGTGAAAAGGCTTTGTGGCTGATTAACCAAAGCCATGGGTACTTAGAAGGCTATGCAAACTTGGCACCATTTCATGGTATTATTAACATGGCCTCAACAGTCAATGGATCTGTATCTAGGCAGTCCAGGAAGAGGAAGAAGGGGGATCACATACCCCAGATGGCAGGGGTGGGCCACCAACAGAGAGGACTTCTTGAGTTGCTCCACGGCCTCTATGAAATTATGCCTGAGGCCCCCAGGAACATTCTGATAACCCAGCAGAAGGCGTCTGCTGGTTCCCTTTCCCTACCTTCCGTTGCAAGAGTGACCAAGCACTGACGTGGACCAAAGGTGAAAAGGGCAGCAAGGGAAGGAAAAGCGAACAGCACAGACAATCCAGAGATTGGGATCAGTCTTGGAATAACCCTGTAATTCTGTTTTCTGTGCCAAGAGCAGTCACCACCACCACCTACGTGTGTCTTCACTACTTGGACTCTTTCCACTTGCCTCTCCCCACTCTGGAGGTGCAGGCACCACCTGGACTTTTTCTTTGTAGGTTTCCTGCACGGTACCTGAGAGGTTGGGTTGTCCATGCACAATCAAAGCATTGACAACAGCTGGGAGAGAACGGAAGGATGTCCATCTAACAACACTCTGAGCCCATGGCCTCCCTGTGAGAACCCTCACTGGGGTGGCTGGTAGGTGTCATGTACAACACAGTTAAGTTCTGTACCATGTCAAAGAGTGTTAAGTCAGAAGGGTTTTCTGGCCAGCTGTTGATTTCACCCGACCTGGTCAATAACCACTAAGCAAACCAATCCCCCCCCCCCCCCAAACCTGTTCAGGCTGATGATATTGTAAAAACAGGCTTTTCTGCTTTTAAAGGAGTTACACATGGAATAAGACAAATGACAGCTATATTTTTCTCTCTTATTTGCTACTGATCATCACTCTGGATCCTAACGTGGATTACTACTGCTTGCAAAAAAAGCAAAGCTAAGAGAAACAATTTTTTTCCCCCAAGGGAAGAGAAAGGGTTGGTAAGTAGACAGACAGTAATCTTTGTGAAGAAACACTGGAGTTTGTTTATAAAACTCAGGCTATTCTTAACCGAGAAAGAAAGCTGGTCAGAAGACACACCTCGACCCTGTCTTATAATTACATTTAAGACACTATATGGTACCTCCTCTCCCACAGGGTCCCTTAAAAATAAATGGAAGTGTGAATCTGGTCTTTGACACATGTAGGATTGCACACTGCCTTCCTCCTGGGAACTCCCGACATGCCCCCTTCATCACTCGAGCTCTCAGAACACACGAGAAGAACTCTCCGTACAGAGGAACACACGCAGACACACGACTCGTGCCCACGCGCACGCCTCCCTCCGCGGAACCCCCGCACAGCAAGGCACAGACGTCTGGGTTCGGGGGGCGCCCGCGAGCTGGCTGGGGGAGAGCTAACCCGGCCCGTCTCCCGTGTGTGTGACATGAGGCGAGATCACTAAAGAAGAGAGTGGTGTCGTCCAGGGGTGGGGGAGCGTCAGGCAGTGGGTGATGTCACGGCTGTCAGACGGTCCTCAGAAGTCCCAGAGGAGCGGCGGCTGGATCGAGAGGGGGACATTAATCTCTCGGAGGTGGATCTGTTAGCCGGAGAGGTGTTAGTCGTACGGTGTGCTCTGGGGAACCAGGTTGGAAGGGACCGGTGCTGGGGTGAGTGGAGTCGTGGCCGATGGGCATCAATTACCTGGGCATGCAGTGAAGCGGGGTAGGTGAAAGCAGGAGGAGGCAGCGCAGGCGCTAAGTCCGCTGGGTACAGAGGGTACGGGGCCCACACTTCAGGGCTACTGGGGTAAAGTGCAGGCACTGTGAGCTCATCTGCAAGACAAGAAGAAGGGGACAGTTAGTGGTCACCCCGCCGCCGGCTCTGAGTCACAAACACACCCGCGCACGCCCGAGCCCCCGTCCGTGGCACGGGTCGCATCGCTCTCAGCCGCTGGATCACCTGTTGCTGCTGGTCTCCTGAACGCCGACCACTGAACGGTACAGACGGAATTGGGAAAAAAAAAAAAAAAAAAAGCTCGAGGGCTGGGATGGACTGGGGGTGGTGGGAGGGAGGCTCAAGGGGGGTGATTCATGTTGTTGGACGGCAGAAACCAACACTGTCAAGCCATTCTTCTCCAATTAAAAATAAATTTAAAATTCGTAAGTAATTAAACCTATTTCATACTTATTTATACCCTATAATAAATTTATATATAATTATATAGTATTTATAAAAAATCAGTAAGTAAAATAAAAGTTTTTAGAAAAGCAGTAAGCATCTGCTCCCTGCCTGGCCTTCTGAGACCTTAGGCTCCGCAGTGGACACTCTGATGTCTTTCCAACTGGAATATGGGGAACCCCCTGAACAGTGGGGACTTCCTGAAGCAAACAGCAAACAGAGTCCTCCGAGGAAGAGAGAGATCCAGTAGCGATCTCCTGTGAAGACCCACGGCAGAGCCGTTGGGAGAACAGCGGCCGCCCGGCAGGACCAGGAGGACCCCCGACAGACCAGAAGGACTAGAGGACTCCTCTGTTCATCAGCACAATGATTACTGGCAAATACCGTGACCATCCAGCGTTTTCTATTTAGAAGCACAAGGCTAGACACAGGGCATTTAAGGTGTTCTAAGTTTGGAGGATGGAAACACAAAGTCTGGGGTGTTCAGATTCAAGGGGCGCTGCACCAAGATCCAAATAAGGGCATTCACTACTGCTGTTGACACTGATTTCATTTTCCAGGGAAAACACGTGAGTTGTGATGCCGACCAGCTGGTCTCAATGTTCCTTGCTCGGCTCCGAGTCCACACGGTTCAGGCTGCAGTTTTGCCAGATTGAAGGGCAAGTGCTGGGGTCTCAGAATGCATCGGGAAGCGGCTTGCTGAAGCCACCACACATTCACGGGGGTGGGGTGTGTCTCAAGGCAGAAATACCCACAGTCAACAGTTACGCATCCAGAACCCGTGAAGCAGCATCTCAGTACGTGCTTTTATCACCTGTCAAAGTCTGATAGCATGTAGGCCAAGGATGCTCCCTGGGACTGTCAAGGGAGTCAGGAAAGGTGACCCCTAAAGCCATTAGTGACTCTGCCATTCAGGACTTTCCAGAGGTCGACAGTGCAAGTGACCCCAGGTCCAGAGAGTCACTTGCTTCCTTCTCACCATATAAGCCGCCCCAAGTCTTCATTCCAGGTCTCCCCTATCTCCCCAAATTCTGACTCTGGGCAGGATTTGCAGTGTGGGGAGGCGGTTAGAAACAGAAGAGTGTCATGCTGAGTGTGCGACCGCCCTACAGAATGAGCAGAAGGCAGCCAAGCCCACAGGAGTGTCTCATCAGGCGATGGGTGTGTGCGGGGCTTCTGTCTCCAGCCAGCGTGGAAGAGTTTTTTGTTTTTTTAAATCAACTCAGTTGTCATTGTGATAACAGTTTCACTCTCTCTCTCTTTTAAAATTATTTTTGATGTGGACCACTTTTAAAGTCTTTATTGACTGTTCCAATACCACTCCTGTTCTATGTTTTGGTTTTCTGGCTGCGAGGCACCTGGGAATCTTAGCTCCTGGACCAGGGATTGAACCTGCACCCTCTGCATCGGAAGGTGGAGTCTTAACCACTGGACCACCAGGGCAGTCCCAGGAAGAGCTTCTGAAAGGATGAGGGGGAGTCAAGGGCTGTTGATGATGACCCTTTAGGGGCCAGGCAGGGGATCCCGACAAGGTGGGCTGATGAGACTCTGGCCACACGGGCACCCCAACTCCCTGTCAACAAGGCTGTCAAAGCGACCTCCTCATGGTGATGGGAACACAGTCTGCTGGTCTAGCTAGGCTGGGGAACCTAGGCCAAAAGAGGGGACGAACAGTTAATTATTTGGATGGGAAAATATTCATATTATAATCCTCTTTAAAGTGATCAGGTCTCCACCACCTGCTTCCACAGTTCTAGGGTGTGGAGGTGTGTGTGTAGTTTCTGGGAGGAAATTCCTTACCGAGGGGTTGGCAGAGCCCCGTGATTCCCGTGGTGATGAGACCATATGATTTCCATTAGAGCAACAACTCTTGTGAGAGCCTGGGCTCGTGGAAACCAACCGCTGCCAGAACCAATGCCTCGGATTTTAAACAAACAACCATTCTCAGGAATGGCAGGCTGCGACTGTGGCTGCTGCTGTTATTTCAGCTACCAGGTTATTTTAAGACATTCTGAGTCTGTTTTTAAAAAAGTCAAGAGAGTCTCAAGACCCAGCACAGTCATCTTTCGGCCCATGCTCGTCCGGCCCCATGGGGACAGCAGGGAACGATAACCACCACCCAGGGTTTCTGCTCAGCCTGCTGCCTGATGGCTGAAGGTGAGGGAGCCTTGCAGGGTGCTCTGGGGCTCCCTTCAGAGAGTTTCTAGAAAGTATGTCTTTTAAGGTATCTGATTCTAAAGACCTAGGATCTGGGTTTCGATCTCAGCCTGACGGAATCTGTGATTTCCAGATCTTTCCACATCTTGTCCTAAAGCTTTACTTCACACTGGACTAGTCACTGATGGACATTTGCACAAAACCTAGCCCACGGATTCCCTGGTGGCTCAGTGGTAAAGAATCTGCCTGCCAATGCAGGAGACTTTGCAGAGACGATGCGGAGTTTGATCCCTGCTCCGGGAAGATCGAACATGCTGTTGAGCAACTAAGTCCATGTGCCACAACTACTGAGCCTGTTCTCTAGAGCCCGGGAGAAACTACAGAAGCCAGAACACCCTACAGCTCATGCTTTGCAACAAGAGTAACCCCGGCTTGCTGGAACTAAAGAAAAGCCCACAAGGCATGGAGGACCCAGTGCAACCAATAAATAAAAACTAAAGCCTAGCCCAGCAGAATGGGGGGCTTGCTTCCAAGTCCTTTAAGCCAGAGGTCCCCAAGTTCCAGGATCTAATGCAATAATAATAGAAAAGTGCAAGATAATTTAATGTGCTTGAAACATCCCCAAACCACCCCTTCCACACCAGTCTGTGGGAAAATTATCTTCTACAAAACCAGTCCCTGGTACCAAAAACATTGGGGACTGCTGTCCTAAATCCCAAATGCAGAGTGATACTATAGTCAGGTAGTGAAAAAGTCCAAGTATTAGTCTATCAGTCGTGTCCAACTCTTTTGTGACCCCATGGACTGTAGATCACCAGGCTCCTCTGTCCATGGGATTTCCCAGGCAAGAATATTGCAGCAGGTAGCCATTCTCTTCTCCAGGGGAATCTTCCCAACCCAGGGATCGAATAGGGGGTCTCCAGCATTGCGGGCAGATTCTTTACCAGCTGAGCCACTAGGAAGCCCCAGTGAAGCAAAGCCTAAGAAGAGAGATCAGGGGAACGTACACTGGGTCAATCCTTCGCTCCAGCTCATCAGCTCTCCCTTTTCCTCTTAGAATGGAACCCGGAGTTACGGTAAATGTTAAGAGGCACGTGGAAGGTTGGTCAGGAGGAGGATGAACTCAGGGTATCAGCGGAGATGCTCTGTGTGGTGAGGGCAGTGAATGGGTGACTACCAACACATCCTCCGGGCAGGAGCCAGGTCTTACTCTGCACCCCCGGCCCGGCTCTGAGCCTGGCATTCAGCATGCAGTCATGCTTGCTATACTGAACAGCACCTGACAGAAAATTCCAAAACTTCTTTAAAGAGATACCACCGTTTTCTTTGTTAAAGGAACTAAGGGAGTAGCCAGAGGAACTAGATCTAAAATTTCTCAACCCTGGCAGTGTCTGTCACATGCACCCAAAATATTGAGCCAAGGGAGGCTCAAATCAGAGCAAGTGTTTTGGAGCTGGAGTTTTCAAAGTTAAAAATAAAAGCAATGGAACCTTTTTTCAAACATGTTTCCCAGAAATTCTTTTTTAATAGAAGTCAAGCGGTCTGGGCTGACTCTGGTGGTCCTGGCTGGAGGAACTCCACTCCTGTGACCGTTCCCGGAGAACACCAGGGTCCCGGAGGTAACTGAAAACCGCTCCTCCAGTGGCTCTCGTCCAGCGGGCCAGTTTTTAAAGCAAGCTCCTCTTCCCAATCTCTGAAGTCTGAATTCACTCCTACAGTTCCTGGAAACCCCCCTGCAGAGAGGGCGAAAAGCAGGCCTCCCAGCCCGACTTCAGTGGCCAAGGTACCAGGGAGCGCTGAGGCCAAGAGGGATCCTGAGTGAGGTTTAATGACTTCCCTGGTGGCTCAGATGGTCAAGAATCTGCCTCCAACATGGGAGACCCGGGTTCAGCCTCTGGGTTGAGAAGATCCCCTGGAGAAGGGAATGGCAACCCACTTCCATGCCTAGAAAACCCCATGGACAGAGGAGCCTGGCAGGCTACAGTCCATGAGCTTGCAAAGAGTTGGACACAACAGAGCGACTAATACTTAATGGTCTCATGAGTGAGGGGCTGGGAAATCTGACCCAAGCCATACAGCAGGTAAAGTAACAGCAAGAAAGGTAAACAACCCAGGTAAGACTTATTCACGGCCTTCCCCGTGTTCTAAGGCGGAGCTGCCCAGCGGCACGGCAGCCCCCCCAAGAGCGCTATGTTGGGGGCCAGTGCTTCTCAAAAGATGCTCCCCAGCATCTCCCGATGCTAGCAGCACGGGAGAAAGGCAAGTTCTCTGCTTCACCCCAGACCCACTGAATCAGGACTGCTTCCCTCCAGGTGATCCTGGTACACACTTCACTCTGAGAACCACTAATGTCAGGAGCTACCTGAGTAAAGTCTGGGGTGTTTTGCTTTCAAAGTGCTGTGACATAGTACGTGTGGAATACATGAATGAGACACTCCAGGAGAGAAGATGCAAATGAAAGTGATCATCCTGGACTTGCTCTGTGAAGAGAAACTGG